AGAATTTTAAAAGAAAAATCCTCAAGCGGGGGCAGGCAAGCTGGCCATCTTGGCAGCTGCCTTGAGGAGGAGAATGGAGAGGAGAAGGAAAGAGAGCCATGAAGCCATGCAGGTTTACAGCCTGCCTGGGGGTCAGACATGTGGCTGAATGGCAGCCACATGGCTGGGAGAAGGAAGCTTTAGAGAAAGTAAAGAAATCCAAGATGCTGGGGGCAGCCCAAAGAAAGAAAACATGTTTAGAAAAGGGATATGGAGAAGAAAAGGTTACGCTTCTCAGAAGAACTCAGAGAAGTGGGAAAATTCACTGACTACATGACTATAGCTGGTCCGGAAGTTCTCTGCTAGATTCCAGGCAGGAAAAGTCTACTATCTCATTAGCACACCAGGTATTCCGCCCATCTATTTAGCATAACTTAAGGTGAGCCTGCCTTCTTAGGGGTGGTCCTATGACCAGAAGATTGACCAGTTACAGTATTACAATCCCCACTGGCTCTGGAACATTAGCCAAATCTTTGACTTGTTTTGATTCTGAGGCTCATATTGGGTCCTCAGAACCGTAATTTTGATGACATTTGGATGCCTCTTGATCGGATTTTTCAATATTTTATTCCATCACTTCTGGATTTTGAGTCAGTTGGAAAACCTTTCCCTAGGCTTAAATTAAGGGGGAATTCACTAATGTTTTCTTCTAGCACTGATCTGGTTTTACTTTTTACATTTAGATTTCTAGTCTATTTGGAGACTGTTCTTACGTCTGGTGTGAGATATGAATCTAATTTTGTCTTTTCCCAAATGGTTCTCCCATTGTCCCAGCACCATTCATTAAAAAGTCTATCTTTGACACAGTAATTTTAGATGCAACCTTTATCCTATACCATAGTTCCCTATGTAGGTGGATCTATTTTGGGGCTTTCTATTCTATTCTAACCAGTCTATTTGTCTACTCCTACATCATTACCACACTGTTCAACTCTAGAGGCTTCCTGTAAGTTTTAATGTCTGCTAGTTCCTGTTTCCAACACAGTTTATCAGTATTTCATTGGCTCTTTTTTTTTTCTGAGAGAGGGGGTGTCATGTATCCCAGTCTAGCCTCAAACTCACTATATAGCCAAGAATGATCTTGAACTTCTGATCCTCCTGCCTCTACCTCCCAAGCACTAGGATCACTGGCATGTACCACCATGCCTGGTTTATAAGGTGCTGAGACTTGAACCCAGGGTTTTGGGCATGCTAGGCAAGCACTCTATTAACTCGATACCCCAGTACCTCCTTTGCTATCCTTACAAGTTTCTTCCTCCACAAGAATATAAGTATCAACTTGCCTAACTCCACAAAAGATACTCATTGATATTTTTATTGGGCCTGATATGCATTTGCAAATTAACTTAGGCAGAACTGGCATCTATGTAATATTGAGCTATTCAAGATCATAGGACATCAGTCCACCTGTTCTTTGTGTTTTCAAAAGTTTTTGAATTTTTTTTCTTTATATGGGTTTTGCACATTTGCTGTTAAGTATTGTTCTAGTTTGTTTTCAATTGTTGTAACAAAACACTGTAATCAATACCAGCTTGGGGAGGAAAGGGTTTACTAGGCTTACATCTCCCAGGTCACAGTTCATCAGGGAGCCCAAAGTAGGAACTCAGGGCAGGAACCTGGAGGCAGGAGCTGGAGCACAGGCCATGGAAGAATAGCCTGCTTACAGAACAAACAGGGAGGGGTGGCACCACCCATATTGGGCTGGGCCCTCCTACATCACTCAAAAATCAAGAAAATACCTCACAGACATGGCCACAGGCCAGTCCAATGGAGGCAATTCCCCAATTGAGGCGCTCTCTACCCACGGGTGTCAAGTTGACAACTAAAGGTATCCAGCACAAGTACATTACTAAATATGTTTTCCCCTGGAACCAAAGTTATAGGCAGTTGTGAGCCATCTGATGTGGGTCCTGGGAACCAAACTCAGGTCCGCTGCAAGAGCAGAAGTACTTTTAATCACAAAGCCATCTCTCCAGCTCCTAGTTTTTCTTTTTATGTTTAAGTTAGCTCTATCATTGATTCTCTAAGATTTCCCATATATAAGATATACTGTCCAGAGCATTTTGAACTTCAGATTAGTGATGTTCAACTTGTATTTTGTCATCTAGCCCTATGCCACTAATCAATTTCTCTGGTCAAACAGTGCTAGCTCTAGCTCTAGAATAATACTGAATACTAGCAATATTGCTATCATTCCCACACCAAGTTCCTAATCTTAGTGGAAATATCTCTATTGTTTCCTTCGTTAAGTGAGATACCAACTTTAATTCTGAAGTATAAATATTTTTCCATGTTAAGAAGCAGTCCTATAATTCCTATTTCTTGAGTGATTTTTTTTTTTTTTTTGTCTTTTTGAGATAGGGTCTCCCTGTAGCCCCAGCTGTCCTGGAACTCACTATGTAGACCAGGCTGGCCTTGAACTCACAAGTTTAAGGGAGGCCTCTGCCTCCCAAGTGCTGGGACTATAGGTGTGCACCACCATGCCCAGCTTGAGTGATTTTTTTTTATGATTATGAATAAATGTCTTCTTTTTCTAAATTTTATTTGATTTCTAATTGTGTGTGTGTCTCTGTGTGTGTATGTGCCTGTGTGTGTGTGTCTGTGTATCTGTGTCTGTGTGTCTGTGTGTGTCTGTGTATGTTCACTTGAGTGCATGTGCTCACAGAGTCCAGGAGAGGGCACTGGATCCCTTCAACTGAAGTTACAGGCAGTTGTGAGCTAACTGACCTGAGTGTTAGGAATCAATCTCAGGTTTTATAGAAGAGTAACATGTACTCTTAACCACTGAGCCATCTCTCCAGCCATAAATAGATATCTTAACCATCACATTATTTTGAAAACTGATAAAGGAAAAGAAGCAAGAACTTATCCCACCTTTTCTATGTTACCTGAGGGCAACAAGCATGGGTTTCTTTCTATGGAATTGCCCCCAGATAATAAAGGAGAAACTATTAAATAAGAAAATTACTACTTTGGAGCCCCTGATGAAACTGTCACTGAAGGCCATCAATAGAGGTACCCTCCCAGAAAGAGAGACACCAGGCACCTTAGACCTCCATCAAAAGCTCATACTACTGTCTATAAAGTACTCTTGCCAGAAAAGAGACAAGACACAGAGAGAACTTGACTCAAGCCTTGAGTTCTAACTGCCAATTCACAAGAAATACACAAGACAGAGGGAAACATCAAGCAACCCCACAAGGATACAGTCTCAGGGACTCCACTGAAATTGATCTGACTTCTTCAATGAAGGATTTAAGGAACATAAAAAGAAAGCAAGGTGGAGGGCATGTTTTCAGATTATTTGAAGAATGCACATGCTTTATGGAAACTTTAAGACTAATCAGTTAACTGTGATATGTGGGATTTATTTGGATTTTAATTTCAGCAAATGCATTTAAAAGACAATTGAAGAGGGGCTGGAGAGATGGCTCAGCAGTTAAGAACACTGGCTGTTCTTGCAGAAGACCCGGGTTCGATTCCCAGCACCCACATAACAGCTAACAACTGTCCGTAACTCCAGTTCCAGGGATCTGACAGCCTCTTCTGTCCTCCATGGGCATTGCATGACACAGGTGCACTTACCTACATGCAGGCAATACACGCATACACATAAAATAAAAATAAATGTTTTTTTTAAAAGACAATTGAAGAATTAGAAATATTTATTGGGCATTTGATTTTATTAAAGAAGTCTTTTTAGCTATTGATTATTTTTGGTTAAAAAGAAATACTTGTCTTTTTTTAGGTACATATGAAACATTTACCCGTGAAATTCTATGATGATGAGGATTAAGGAGAAGATAGGATCTGGGAAGACGACTCAGTTGATAAAGTATCTGCTGTGCATGCATGAAGACCTGAGTTCAGATCCCCAACACCTATGTAAAAGCTGAGTGCAGCAGTGTATACCTATAATCCCAGCTGGAATGGGGGTGAGGCAGGACAGAGTCTGGAGGTAAGAGAATCCCTGGAGTTCATTAGTCATCCAGGTTAGCCAAAGTGATGGGCTCCAGGATTGGTGAGAGACATTGTCTCAAAAATAAGATGAAGAGGGCTGGAGAGATGGCTCAGTGGTTAAGAACACTGTTTGTTCTTGCAGAAGACCCAGGTTCGAATCCCAGCACCCACATGGCAGCTAACAACTGTCCGTAACTCCAGGTCCAGGGGATCCGACAGCCTCTTCTGTCCTCCACAGGCATCGCATGACATAGGTACACTTACCTACATGCAGGCAATACACACATACACATAAAATAAAAATAATAAATAAAATATTTTAAAAATAAGATGGAGAGTAACTGAGGAACACACCTGACAGAACTTTGGCCTCCACACACACATACACACATGTATGCATATGTACACATGCCTACATGAACACATACATACAACATACACACACACACACACACACACACACACACACACACACACACACTAAAGGCTAAGATAACAGTATTTATAAGATGTAAGCTGGGATAAGTACAGAGTGGCTTTGTCTTTCTCTCTACTTTTGTGCATGTTTGAAATTGTTCATAACAAAAAAAAATGTTTTGCACGTCTTGTATTTACCATGTCATCTAAGTGAGATCATACACCAGAATTTGGAGGAAACAGCCAAATGCATCCTAACTGTACCACTAGTCACCACCATCAGCCATGGAACCCTCAAGGGCTAGTAGTCAGGTAGCTCAGGGCAGTGACCAAAAAGGTACACACACACACACACACACACACACACACACACACAGATGGCCACCTATAGCATCTCTCCCAATAGGCACAAGGAATACCCAGGGGTCCCAAGGCAATGGCACCCGGGTCACAAGGTTGTAGAGGCTAAAAAGATTATCATTTCCCTCAGGAACCTAGTGCCAAGAGTCCAATCGCCCTTTCTACCCCTCAGCAGACTCCCAGCCCCTGGGGCTTCTGCCTGCCACAGGAATGGCCAAACTCACATCATTCTCCGAGGTCCCACAGAGGATGCAGGATTTGCACTCTATGCACTGCCACTTGTAGGTCTTGACAGCCTCAGTCATATTCAGCGTGAACTGCAGGCAGGTTGGATGACCTGGGGGGGCGGAACCAGAAGCAGCAGTATTAGGATCAAAGTGTTTGACCTCTCACCATCAACACCACTAACCCAAAACACACTTTTCCTCAGTGTGGAAGGAGGCAGGAGTAGCACAGACTGGGAAATAGACTGCAAGCAGGATAGGGGCTCTGCTCACAGTCCTGACCCCACCCCACCCGTTATGTCAGATAGAGGTTAAATACCATTTAATTCCCCTTACCCTAAGAGCCATGGCCCCCTATAGGTGTAACCAGTAGAGCAGAAAGTGATGATCAGAGTGCACTAAAGAGGATGCTGCCAGCAAGCAGCCCAGGCAGCCCCATGGGAGGCATCAACATTACCTCTCAAGCCCAGGCTTCAGCTAGGTCAGGACAATACATAAAAGCAATTTAGAGCTGGGACCCCCCTGTTCACACTACCTGGGAGGGGGTCAGAGGATTATGTGAGATTTTCAGGGACAGTGCTCAGGGGCAAAGGGTGGCATTGCATGGTTTTCTAGCGTATCCATGCCCACAGCCAAGAGACGAGCAGAAGTCTATACCATGAACCGTCACATGGACACAAGAAAAAGGGGCCTAGCAGGGTAGGGAAAGGAGGAAATACCCCAGACAACAAGCAGGTCTAGCCTAAAAGAATCATTGACTGGTTCTAACTTTTCTCCATCCCAAATGTCATATTAGCCAGATCCAGAGAGGGACATTAAGCTGTGATTATAGATCATACACTCCTGAAGGAACACCTGAGTCTTGGCCTGCTGAGCAGCTCCCACTCACTCTGAAGGGCAATGCCAACTGTAAGCAGACAGCTGGGAGCTGCAGAACGTGAGGGCCCTTGGCCTTCTAGTCAGCAGGGAAGGGAAACGTGGATGATGTTCCCAGATTTCCCAGTGCTGTGAGCTGGATGGGATTTTGCCAAAAGCACTCAAGACAAGGCCCACTGCTGACTGCTATAAAAGAATCAATAGTTCCATCCTTCTCCAAGGCTCCCACCTCTGTCAAACCCACTGCATAGAGCATCATATTGTCCCTTTCATGTGAGGGATTCTGTGCTTTAAAGGATACAGTAAACAGGGGACACCTTGTGTGCTCACAGACAGCCCCCCAAGTGGTGTTACTAGCACTCAGCAGAGCCACATCCCAGCAGGAGCCCGAATGTCCTCCCTTTCAAATCTTCAGAGAGATAATCACACCATGCTTATTTGGGTGAAATACTATCTAGTCAATCAACACAAGGACCTACCAAATTTGCCCCCCATACAAACCACACTGAGGGATTTCTGAGGATGAGACAATGGGGATAGAAATAGCCAGGGGAGGAGGGCAGGTCTCAAACTTGTCAAGGGCTTCTCAGGTGTCATCCAGCTCACTCCTGCATCTAGCTACGAAGCCTCCCACAATGACACCATGGTAGTGTCCCCAAAGGGACAAAAAGCCTTACATTGAAGTCCCACATGAATATCCAGCTCATATTCTTGAAAGCATCTTGATGGACTGTCTGAGAATACCAGCTAGGCTGTTCCCTATTCCAACCTCTCAGAGTGGAGACAGAAGTGGGAATAGAGGAGAAAATTTCAGACAGGGACTCTGAATGGTACAGACCACACGTGTCCAGGTTCTCTGACCCGGCAACATTGGGAAGGATGGCTGTGACCCGGAAGTTCCTCTGACAAGCCATGGTCCCACCTCCTTCCCACCTCTGCGGAAGGAGTCAAGACCATTAAGGGGCAGAGGTATGGAGATATAAGCCAGGAAAACCATGAGGCTGCTCTCTCACAATTTTTGTGTGGCTGTTGGGAAGCCACCGGACTTACGTTTGGGTGTGGACCTTCGAGCACAGCCGAGAATGGGGTGGTCTCCATTTTTGGAATAGAGCTTAGCAAAAGGAAAAGCGGGTGCACCACCCATCTTGTGGGGGGGGGCTCCTCAGCAGGATGAGAGGAGGCACTTGGACAGGTGAGCAGGCAACTAGGAGGACACTGGGGAAAAGGGGTGGAGACACTGTCACATGGAGCAAAGCCATCAAGGAGGGGCGGGGCCAGGCGCGGGAGAGCGGTGGAGTGTGCACTTCAAATATAGAAAAGGAAAAGGCTATAAGAATTCGTGTTTTTGTAAGTCACCCCCTCCCAAATGTCATATAAACTATGCAAAATCCAAATCGGATATCTTATGTCAGTTCGTCAATCTGCGTCAGGGTGGGGAGACCCTGGGGGCAGGGGTGGAGGGGCGGGGAGTCCCACCGGAAGAGGAAAAGTTAGTGAAGCAATGGCACTGAGGTCATGGGAGAGACACTCATCCGGACAGGGTGACTTTGTCTGGTTTCTCGGTCCTGGGTCGTACCCCATCCACAACTGCCAGCTTCCTCTAAGGCTCATTAACTCAGCAAGTGTTTCCTGAGCAGGTGCTAAGCAGGCTATTATGCTAGATAGAAAAGATACAGCGGTAAGCAAGCCACGCTAAGCTCTAGTCTAGCCAGAGACCTCAAATTAATAAACCCTATACATAACTATTTAATTACAATTGAATGACTAATGCCATGAAAGAAAAGCATAATTGGCAATGAAAACAAATGGAAGGGCCTAACCTGGTCAGGAATGTCAAAGCAACCTTCCCTAGGAAAGAACCTTAAGTTAATACCTGGCAGAGCAGGGGGAGTTAACTGGGTGGAAAGGAGCAGGGTCCAGCTAAAGGGACCTTGTATGAGCAGAGGTTGAACAGCAAGAGCAAGCTATAAGGAAGGGCAGTGAGTAGAGGCTTCATGTGCAAAATAAAAGGGCAGGAGGCAGCCGGAGTGATACTGAAGCCAGACTAAATAGGCACTTGCAGCCCTTATTTAAGGATTTGGGGCTTTAAAGTCATTGAAGGGTTTCAAGCAAAGCACTGGTGGATGACTATGTTTTTAGAGAAGCTTTTTGTTTTTGGCATAGAGGATTTGGGGGCTGAGAGCACAGCTTTGTATTCTTGGAGATTACATACGTGATAAGACTACATGAAACTATATAGACACACATCAACGTGTATGTGCACAAGCATGTACATGCACAAAAGCATATGAAACCGATGAAATCCACAGAGGCTTTGTTTGGGGGCTGCAGCAGTTGAAATTGCCTGGTTTTGATATTATATGGAGGTCTGTGAGATGATCACCATTAGAGGAAACTGGGTGAAAGGCACATGGGACCTCAGTCATTTCCTACAAAGCTGTAACTAATTCCAAACAGTTGGAAAGATTTTCTTTTCTTTGGTCTTTTTGAAACAGGGTCTCTCTGTAGCCCCAGCTGGCCTGGAACTCACTATGTAGACCAGGTGAGCCTCGAACTCACAGAGATTTGCCTGCCTCTGCCTTCCGAGTGCTGGGATTAGATATTTTTAAATAAGACAATACAAATGAAAATGTATACTGTTTCATACAGAACTACTAGCACTTAGATGTTTGCACATGCGTCTCCAATGGAGATCTTTTTTAAAGGTTAAAACCTCACTCAATTTTGTGTCTTATAGGGTTTATACTGAGTTCAATATTGTATAACTGCATTAATTCAACTGTGAACCTAAAAATTTACAGCCAATTTTGAAAGAGATGCATCTTTGCTCTGGAAATTGTTATTGACTATGTTAATGCTGTAATGAAATGCTTCTTCTAATCATGTGGTTATTAAATAATTTTTTTAAAAAATGAAAATGTAAATCGCCAGGAAGAAAAGAAGAGAGGAAGAAAGAAAGAGTGAGGGAGAAAGGAGAGAGGGGGGCATGGAGGGAAGGGGAAGGGAAGGATGGAGAGATGGACAACAGGTTGCTTTCTAAGGAAAAAATTGTTGTGGGACTGGGGGAAGACAGAGATGCAAGAATTGTTGCCAAGAGATTGATTGAAGACTGATGCAGATAGCATGAGAAAGACAAGGGTGATTAGACTCAGGTAGAAGTCTAAGAAAACAGGAAGTGGGGCTGGAGCGATAGCTCAGCAGTTAAAAACACTGGCTGCTCTTGCAGAGGACCCAGGTTTGGTTCCCAGCACCCACATGGTGGCCAACATCCCAGTTCCAGGGGATCCAATGCTCTCATCTGGCCTCTCTGGGTTTCCATGCATATGGTATATTTACATACATTCAGGCAAAACACTCATAAAAAAATTTTTAAAAAAAAGAAATCTTTAAAAAGAAAAGTAAACAATAGGTGACAGGAGTTGACCAGTCTGAATACTGGGAATGCTGGACAGTGTTTAAAAAAAATACCCTGGAGGGTCTGAATCAAGGAATTGGGTAGACTGCAGTAAAACTTACTACAGTGAGGATCACCATGGCAAGAATGCATGGCAGCCCTGGAGAGGAGGACTCACTCTGTTCTGAGCACGTTCAGTTTGAGAAGACAGGGTCCTAGGGGAAGTGACAAGCAGGGAGTGGAGCATGAGGTTTAGAGTTCAAAAGACAAATATGGACTTGAGATAGAAACAAGAGGTCTTAATAAATAGGTAATTGTTGAAAACAGGAGAATCTGTGAAATTGGGGAAAGGTGAACAAGGGGAGAAAGTAAAAGGAGAGAAGAACGAAGAGAGAAAAGATCTATAACTGAGCTTTAATGACCAACTATATAAATAACAAAAGAGCTGGGCCGGGAACATGTGCCTATAATCCCAGCACTGGGGAGCTTCAGACAAGAAGATCATGAGTTCCAGGCTACAGAACAAGACCCTATTTCAAAAATTAAAAAAAAAAAGGGGGGGGATAAAATAATAGGGCAAAAGAACCAACCAGCAAAAGAAACAGAATGGTCAGAGAGTCAAGGAGCAGATTGGATGAGTATGCGATGACCACAGCCGGAAGATGAGATTTCAGGAAGGTGGCCAGCTGCGCAACCACCACAAGTTTGTCATTGCTCCTTAAAGACCCTGAGTGAGGGAGTGTTGGCAGAGCAGAGCAACCGCTGTCCTACTAATAATAACATTCCTCATGGTGCCGTCTTCCCGAGGAAGGAAGGTCAGCACATTCCCTGGCATGCCAACCC